GTATACAGAGTGTTTTTTTTTTTTTTTTTTTTTTCGGGGGTGGGGGGGAAGAAAGCAGTTCCTGACCCCCGGAGGGCAGGGTAAACACGGAGGGGCCGATAGAAAAAAGAAAAAAAAAAAAAAAAAACGGCACCCCGTGTATACAAGATCGTCGCTCCTTTGAGTGGAGCGCGAAACCAAGTTATATACACTGCGCGTCCCTTTGCGGCTTTTCACCATATATGTCAGCATACATACCTGCTCGCGCCATACATGTACACCCTATATATGAGTATACACGGCAGCGTCGAGTCGCGACGAGCTAGCGAAATACCGACATAGACAGACACGACGATGTACGAACTTGACCGACTTTTCCCACCCCCCCCCCCCCTGTGCTGGTTATATATACGCGCTCCTATGCGTCTCTCGTGCCATTTTATACATATACGCGTGTGTACGCTATTTCTCTCCTTGAGAGTGGACTTTCCTGGGGTCGGCCGCGCTACTGACGTCAGCCTCTCTCTCTCTCTCTCTGTACACACCGACACGGCCACCACCGCCATATACTCTCTCGTATGTATACACACTGCAGTCACCCCTCTTCTCTTTCAACTCGTGCATATTTTACAAATGCAGGTTAGCACGTAGGGTGTTGTGGAAAAAAAAAAAAAACAAATCGGATGACGATTTCGGACCTAAATGCAATTGTTAACCATTGTCCCCTCCCCTTCTTGCGTATGGGGTGCAGGTATTTCCGCGCGAAAACATGCCAGTAAGAATATATATATATACACAGTACGGGCTAAAAATATATACAACTATAAAAGTGCAACGGGTGGGAGGGCGTGTGCGTGCACGCGGGTGATGATGGGTATTTTTAGGCGTGTAAAGAGACCGATATGATCTCTCCTCGGCACGCTATTGGGCGGGGGGGGGGGGTGCAAATTCGGCACTTGATGCGATATAATATACATAAGGCTATGTATAATTATTATGATTATGAATAATAATAGTCGTTAAAGTAAAAGGAATACTTAGCCCAAGGTGGTGAGCGTGACGATGGTGTACCAAAAGGCAGCAGGAATGGAGGTGAAGTTGGTACCGTCGACGTTTTTCTCGGCGTAAAACATGACGGTGGCGAATATGATGATGGCCATGGCCAGGGAAAAGACGAGAAAGCCGAGCTCGGAGGCGCACGATTCAAGAGTGTAGCCGAGTATCCGCAGGCCCTGGGAGTGCCTTGAGAACTTGAAGATCCGAAAGACCCGAAAGACCCTTAGGGTGACGAAGGCCCCGGACACGTCGTCGTTGTCGGTTATACCGAGGCCTATGTAGTACGGCAGTATAGCCACGACGTCGATGATGGACATGACCGACCTGGCGAACTTGCAGCGGCTCGGCGCCGCGAACAACCGCAACAGGTACTCAGCCGTGAATATCATCACGCACGCCGTGTCCAGGCAAAAGAAGACGATTTTGTAGCGCTCGCCGCACGAGAGGGTGCCCGCCCGGCCCGGCAGATTCGCGCACGGCACCGTCTCCAGCACATTGGCCAGCACCGACACGGCTATAAAGAACCCCGTCACGTAATAAAACACCAACGCGGCGGTCGACGTGTGCGGGTTCTCGAACGCCCGCCACATCCTTTGCCGCAGATCCGTCAATTGGGGCGTGTGGTCCCCGTCCTCGCTCGCCTTGTCGTCGTTCAACCTCTCGAGGTTCTCCCGCTTGCCGTCCCGGTAGATCTCGTAGCAGCAGTCGCCAATCACCTCGGACGAGATCCCGAAGAAGGCCAGCTCGTCGTCGAAGCTCGTCAAGCACTCGTGCCGTGGAAAGTGGAGCTTGCCCGTCCGGTAAAACCCGAGTATGTGCCGGAATATCTCCGAGTCCCGGTCGAAGAAGTACTCACGGGTGTCCTCGTCGAAGAAAAAGGCCTTCTCGCTGCTCCCGAGTAGGGTGTCGGGGTACTTTTCGAGGGTTGTCCGCCAAATCATGAAACGACAGCCCGACACGTTTATCACGAGTTTCTCGTCCTCGGTGTTGCGCCGGTCCTTGGGTATCGGGGGCGGGGGCAGGGGGTGCGCGGCTATGGGCACCCAACCGACGGCCGCGGCCCGCGCGAACGGCAGCCACGCGGCGACCGAGGCCATTCTTTGTCTTTCTTTTTTTTTTTCCTCTCTCTCACTCTCTCTCTCTCTCTCTCTCTCTCTATATATATATCAATATACCAATATACCGCGTGTATAGAGTTGCTTTTTTGCCTTTGATAAACTTTAACGTCTTCGCCGGAAGCCGTCCTTGGGGAGAGCTCTGTGGACGACGTTGCCCCACCTCACGCGTGGCTTCTCCGTCCCTTGGCCGCGAGGGCGCCTCCAACGACCGGGATGTCCCGTCCGCGGCGGCGACGGCGATGACGGCGATGACGGCTGCGTCGGGCCATCATCATCACCATCGTCATCATCAGCATCATCGTCGTTAAGGTGGCGACGCGCGCGACCACGGGAGGAGTTGTTTGATTGTCGTGATCGTCCAACAAACAAATAATCGGGGAGGGGGGGAGGGGTACGATGGGCCACACCGGGCTCTTACTCGCGCTCGAGTTTACCCCTTCGGGGGCACGATTGGCCGCTCCTTGTCGGGGGCTGGGGACGCGGGCGGTACTGGTGCCCCGACGGGGGGGGCTCGGCGGCGGCAGGAGCTCGCGGGCAGCGTGGTCGTCGAGTCTCGGAGGTACGGCTGCTTATACTGCCGGCACTCCTCCTCCATCCTCCTTGGATCCAACTCGGAGGAGCGGCCCGGCCGGAGGAGCAACGATCATATTTTTAACCAATAACCCGCTACTCCTCCACCGTGTACGTCTTTTGTGGTCTTTCACTCGTGGCTCCCGATAAACGGCCAATGATGCGACGCGATGACCTGCGTGCCCTCGGCAAACAACATCGTCCAATGTCCTATTGGCGATTCCCCACCACCACCTTCCTCCACTTCCTGCTGCACTTTTTTTTTTTTCTTTTTTTTTTTTTTTTCCTTCGCTCTCGTGCACCTATTGGGTATGTGCAACGTGCACCATCGCAACTCGATCCCGGGGGATGATCGCGCAAGGTGATATTATGCACGTTAATATACAGTACCAAGACGCCCCACTGTACACAAATATGCACAAAACGAACACTATATACTCTCTCGCGGGTATACAGAGTGTTTTTTTTTTTTTTTTTTTTTTTTTTTCACCACTCGATGGTCATATCTTGAGTCGTGCACGCGTATACACACGCACTCGCGCCCCAAAAGGGGGACCCCAGCTGCGGGGGTGTAGCGAGATATAATATATGCGAGGAGAAGAGGATACTCCCTCTCTCTCCTTTATCTCGATGTGCGGGCGAAGCGTACGGTGTGCGTGTGGGTTAACAATAACCCACGATGATCCGCAGGGCGCACCGGTACAACGAGCAATGACAGCCGTGATATGACGTGTACACGTAAATAGTAGTATGCATATATGTACCGGGGGTGTGGGTGTGGGTGTGTGTGTGTGTGTGTGTGTGGACACACGCGCGCGCGCGCGCTAGCGACCCGCTCGATGAGTTGGGCTACTCGCGACTGCCCGGCGGCCCGTCTCCGCCGAGCTTTCACGGGGGCTTGCGGGAGAAAAGAGCTTGCACGAGGAACAAGGAGAGAGCCATAGCTCCCTCTACTACGCGTTTATATATATATACATGTACATGCGCATCAACGCTTCGTCACTGCCGTGTACTGTATATGTATTTATACATAGCGCGAAAGCTGCTCTCTATATATATATGTATTATCCCCGCGCGCGCATATCGTATGTGTATATGTAAGGTGTGGTATATGTGGCTCTATATGTACGGTCGTCGACGACGCTCCCCCTTTTTCGCTTGGGACGTGCAGCCAAAACGATCTGCTCCCATTCGTTCCCTTTCCTTATCATTTCTCCATCCCCCTCGCCCCGATGCTCGTGCTCTTCCTGACTTTTGTCCCAATGATCGATGCGCTTACACGTATACACGTATACCGCGCAGTAGGTGGGAGCGACAATGTCTCTACATATTTGCGGCAAACGCCGAGAGAGAGAGAGAGAGAGAGAGTCCTTATTGTATACGTACATCCACTCGAAATACCATTGGGTCCTCGTGCGTGAGAGATATCCAACGCGGCTACATAAATATATATTATATATACTGATGGACCCACCATCTGTATATTGGAGAGGGAGAGAGCGATTGCGCCCAAATTGATTTTTACGAGGAAAGAACGGCCAGCAACCACCCCAAGAGCCATCACGCTCGCTCTCTGCCGGCTCTCTCTCTTTTACCCCGTGCGCGCCCTCCCCCCCCCTCCATGTATGTATATGTATATATACCTCCCTCGCTGATCCTCGACCGTGTGTGTATATATCTCTCGCCGCGCGTTGCCCGGGCAACCGTTATACGGTGACGTCAGAGGGGATAAATATACATGTCTATAGCTGCCCTCCTGATGTGCGCCCACCACCCCCTTGCATGGGCTTGGTTTTTTTTTTTTCGCGCGCGCACGCGACTGTTTTTTCGTCCGATGTCTTTCGCGCGAGCTTTTAAGAAAAAACAACAACAATGCATCTTCTGCGGTGAACTCTCGTCGTTCCGACGGCGGTCGAGTTGTCCTGCACGTCCCGTCGAGCTGTTGATTCGTTAAAAAAGCGCCCAAAGCTCTAGTTTGCAAGTTTTTCCCACGGTTTTTTAAATTAAAAGAACACCCCGATGTTGGTTAAAACTGTGATGAAAGCAAGGTGATGTCCCATGCCCCCCCCCGAAAATCATTGAGCGTTTTCGCAAATGAAATATATACATATCTGGTAAACCTATTTGGTAGCGCTACCATCTACGAGGCGTTAAACAAAAGATTGTCGCTCGCGCAGACTGTACGAGAGGAGGAAGAGAAAAAAAATTAATTTTCATTATGCAATTTCACCAACTCTGCTCTTATCCGAGGAATAATCGAGCGAGTTGGCCCGATAACGAGAGAGCCGATCATCGACGTCGATTACACGCCCAATGAGCTAATATACATACATATGTACGCATACAATGGTAGTAGGGGCGCCCTGAATAAATACTCGCTCCGGTGATCCGCGATGCCTACACAACACCTGGTGTACAGCGGGAGAGGTCCCCAACTCGATCGAGGAGGCACGAGTAACACGTCAATTGAAATTCTTTTCAAGGCAAACCCCCAAAAAAAAAAAAAAAGAAACACCTGCCATGTACCGAGGTGTTTTGTTCCTCGCGCTGGTGGCACTGGCCCGCGCCGAGGAGCGAGTCAATTTCCAAAACTACAAGGTCTTCGAGGTGACGCCGCAAAACGACGAGCAGCTCGATCTTCTCAAGGAGCTGGAACTCAATTACAACGACGTAAGTCCTACTCTCGCCCCTTGTGGCACTTTGCCACCATAAAAACATATTTACGTGAAAGCCAACCCCCTTTAGTACGAGTATTGGCGGCCTCCGGGCGCATTGTACCAGCCAGCCGAGGTGATGGTCGGCCCGAGTCGCGAGCCCGACTTGGTCCGGCTCCTCAGGGGCAACAACGTCACCCACCAGCTGCTCGTCGACGACCTCCAAGCTCTGATAGACCAGCAAAATCCCGCGACGACCTTCGCCTCGTCGAAACGCAGATTCACCTGGGACAGGTACCACACCCTCGAGGAGATCTACGCGTGGCTGGACACCCTGCCGCTCAAGTACCCCAACACGGCCCAGGTGGTTTACGGGGGTAGCACCTACGAGGGCCGTCGGATCAAGGGAGTCAAGCTCACCTTCGACGTCCAAATCAAGCCGGGGATTTTCGTCGACGGTGGTACGCACGCCCGCGAATGGATAGCCCCGGCCACGGTGACTTATCTGATAAACGAGCTGCTGACCAGCGACGAGCCGGAGGTGCGGGCCCTCGCCAACGACTACTACTGGACCTTCTTCCCCGTCGTCAACCCCGACGGATACGTCTACACCCACACCACGGTAAACACTCTTTTCTTGTTACATGCGTATCTGGAATTGGTAGGGCGTATATACAATGTGTGTCTCGTTTTCAGAACCGACTGTGGCGCAAGACCATGTCCAGGAACTCCACGGTGTGCAGGGGCGTCGACGCCAACCGCAACTGGGACTACAAGTGGATGAGTGAGTTGGCGAGCCATTAAAAAAAAAAAAATAAATAAAATAACAACGAAAATTGCTGGGCTTGAAAATATGGTCATCTGGTACTTTTAACTCTCCAGCCTTGGCCAAATGAGCGCAGTAAATTGTTATTGTATTTTGTTCTTTTCTCTCGGTGCGTGCACATACTGTATGAACTTCTTTTGTTCGAATAGAGGGAGGTGCGAGCCAGATCTCGTGTATGCCCAACTACGCCGGTAGGAGGCCGTTCTCGGAGATCGAGACGAAATCGTTGTCGGACTACATGAGGTACATCCGCAGGGACCTGTTCGCTTATGTATCGTTCCACAGTTTTTCCCAGCTGCTCCTGTTCCCCTACGGCCACACCACTGCCCACCTGGAGAACTACGACGAGCTGGTGAGCTGTTGGTTCCCACCCTTTGAAAAAAAAAAAAAAAAAAGCTCCGCAGTGACGATGGCGAATTTGGGTTTTTTCAGAGCGCGATCGCCAAGGCGGCGGTCGCGGCGTTGGCCAAGAGCCACGGGACCAAGTACAGGTACGGGGGAATCGCGGAGACGCTGTACGTGGCCACGGGCTCGTCGGTCGACTGGGCCAAGGCCGTGCTGGGACTGCCCATCGCCTACACGTACGAGTTGCGGGGGAGGTCGCCCATACCGGGCTTCCTCCTACCCGCCAAGCAGATCGTGCCCAACGGCGAGGAGGTCCTCGATTCCTTGGTCGCCATGTTCGGGGAGGCCAGGAAGTTTGGGTACCCCTAGGATTGCGCTTTATTAATAATTTATGACTTTGAATGTTGAAAAAAATAAAAAAAAAAAAAACAAATGACTTTTTGAACCTATACAAATTTCGTCTTGGTTAATTTACCCAACTGCGTAGCGATGGTCATCAAATGCATCTCATTTCTTATGGGGGAGTCGTTTGATACACGTTTATTGGAGAAATGCGACGAAAAAAAAAAGAAAGTACGCGTGAAACTATTACATGCTAGCTTTTCCAGGTTGTCGATGATTGCGTACACTTATCGTATTGATAAGTTGAACACCATAGTGACCATTAAATACCAGAGTGTGTTTTGACTGAAGTTAATGATTATACCCTGGAGGCTGGACGCATTAAAGTTATACGAAGCTGGAGTAGCAGGCGAAATCAAAAATCTTTGCGTTACAAAAAAAAAAAAAAAAAAAAGTGGAAGATTAAAACCCAACGATTTCGTGTCGTACGTAATATAAATTATTATCTGTGAATAACGCCATTCGTGTACGAAAATTAAAAAAAAATTTTATCTGCCATAGTCATAACCCCTAGATGAAGTTGGTGTAGTTTTTTATTTACTTTTTCAATACACAACGCGTGTGTACATAAGTCTGATAAAAAAAACGGTTGAACTAGGTTTTCATGATTTCTATAAATTACGCAAGTGCGCGATGCTCTTGAGAGACTGGAATTAAGATTTAATATTATATTTGTTGTGTGATAAAATTGCGAAACCACGGTTTCCGAGTATTTTTATAAAATATATACCTTCAAGTAAATTTGAATTTCATATTTTTAATTTCAACGACTTAAAATTGTATCTAATGTTCTATAAATCTTTTTGTTTGCTGACCAAAATAAATTTTCGTTATTAAAGTATATTATGTTGTTGGACTTGATATTCTTTGTAACTAGTTATTTTACATGTATGTTTGATAAAGCCTCGGGTGGTTATTTTAATCATCAGTGACAATTGATTTTTATAAATTTCGGCAAGTTCAAGTGCCAAATGTATGTTATGCTTAACGGTATTCAAACACGGTATTGTTTGCGCACGGTATTGTTTGGTACGGTAAATATTTTAGTATAGATTCATTCGGTGTAATTTTCTTGATACCCTCGATTTTTGGACCAATAGACACATTTGAGTAAACAAGTATTTTGTTGGGTGCCTAAATTCACAGCGGAGTAGTGGCAAGATTTACTTGCTTTGATTTAATTAGGGTAATCAAATTTGATATCAGAAAAAAATGCCGTGTTAGATAACACTTTACGTGTTGATCGATGGACTCCAAGCCTCGTGTTGAATAAAAAAAAAAATACATTATTAGATATGGGGACACCTTTTGGGTGATGTGAAAAAAAAAAAAAAAAAAATTGATAACGATGAATATTTTATGTAATTTAACATCAATCGAAACTATTGGTAAACTTATTTGATTACTGACAAGTGCTACAATGTCTGCGTGTTGATGCTATACTATTCTGTGTAAATACATCACTTTGTATATCTATTAAATTATCTTCAATGCGGGAGTATTAAAAAAAAAGTTATCTCTGCTCGAGTTCTTATCAACGAGATCTATACTTATACGCCACTAAAGATATTATTTGATTTTAAATATGATAATACTCGTGTAAATTGTGTAATTCTAAAGCCGCAAGAACAAATACTATTTTTTTTTTTTTTTTTTTTTTTTTTTTTTTTTTTTTTTTTTTTTTTTTTTTTTTTTTTTTTTTTTTTTTTTTTTTTTTTTTTTT